AGCACACTCCGCCCGGCCAAGAAATTAGATTCTTCATTAGTCGCTACTATAAAGGTCAATTTTGAAATGAACTCATTCTTAACCATGGTCAAAGATGAACTCAGAAGGAAATTTAGAAACTATCTAGAGACTAATACAAATGAAAACATAACACAGCACTACCTCCAGAAGAGCAGTAAAAGCTGTGGTGAGAGCGGAGTTTTGTGGTGAATGCTTACATGAGAAGAAAGAAGACCTCAAACCACCTCCTAACTTTACACCTCAACCAACTAGAAAAAGAGCAACTGAAACTAAAAACTAGCAGGAGAAAGAAACTAAAGGGTCAGAACAGAAACGAATGAAACAGAAAGCAGAAGAATAAAGGGAAGAACAATTAGCCACATCAAGGGTTGGTTCTTTTTGAAAAGATCAAGAAAATTGAAAAGCCTTCAGGGAAACTAAAAGAGGAAGAGAGAGAGGAGATTTGAATAATTAAAAGTTGAATTGAAAGGGCATTGCAACTGATGTCACAGAAATAAAAAGAATTATAAGAGGCTGCTATGAATAATTACATACCAATAAATTGGATAACCTAGAGGAAATGGATACTTTCTTAGAAATATATAACCTAATAACACTGATTCATAGAGAAATGAAAATATGAAGAAGCCAATAATAAGCAGGGAGACTGAAGCAGTAATAAGAAATCTCTCAACAAAGAAAATCCCAAAGCCAGATGGCTGCACTGGAGAATCCCATCAAACATTTAAAGAATAATTAGCGTTAATCCTCTTCAAAAGAATTGAAGGACACAGAACAGTTCCAGCTCGATCCTATGAGACCAGTATAACTTTGTTAGCTAAATCAGACAAGGAAACTATAAGAAAAGAAAAATGAAGGCCAATATCCTTTATGGAAGTCAACTGAAATGTTCTCAACAAAATACCAACAAACTAAATTTAACAATATATTTAAAAGATTGTATAATATGGCCAAGTGGGATTTGTACTTGGCATGCAAAGATGGTTCAACATGTGAAAATCAAACAATATACCACATTAACAGAATAAAGAGCAAATACCACATGATCATCTCAATTAATGCAAAAGAGCATTTGAGGGCCAGCAAGATGGCTCTGTGGGTAGAGACACTTGCCATGCAGCCCAAAGACCTGAGTATGATCCCAAGACCCTTGTGGTGGAAGGAGAAGAACAGATTCCCACAAGTTGTCCCCTGACCTCACATGCATGCTGTAGCATGCACACATACAAACCTCTGCAAAATAATAAGGAAAATGTAATAAATTTTTTAAAAGAAAAAGCATTGGGGAAAAAAAAAAAAAAAAAAAAAAAGGCCAGGCGTGGTGGCGCACACCTGTAGTCCCAGCACTTGGGAGGCAGAGGCAGGCAGATCTCTGTGAGTTCAAGGCCAGCCTGGTCTACATAGTGAGTTCCAGGACAGCTGGGGCTACAGGGAGACCCTGTCTCAAAAACACACAAAAAAAAAAGGAAAAGAAAAAGAAAAAGCATTGAACAGAATTAAAAATGCTTTTATGATAAAGCCACTCAATAAAGTAAAAATTGAAGCAAAAGACTCCTAACAAAAGCCATACATGAAGCCAGGCATGGTGGTGCACTTGGGAGGCAGAGGCAGGCGGATCTCTGTGAGTTCAAGGCCAGCCTGGTCTACATAGCAAGTTCCAGGCCAGCTGGAGCTACAGGGAGACCCTGTCTTAAAAGACCAAAAACAAAACAAAACAGACTAGGAAATAAGTGGTAACACCCACCATTGTCACTGTTATTTACTTATTTATTTATTTATTTATTTATTTATTTATTTATTTATTTGGTCTCCCAGTAGTCCCAGCTGGCCTGGAACTACTATGTAGACCAGGCTGGCCTTTAATTCACAGAGATCCACCTGCCTCTGCCTCCCGAGTGCTCGGATTAAAGGCATGGGCCATCACTCCTGGTTGTCACTGTTATTTAACACAGTACTAGAAATCTTAGCAACAGCAATTACACAAGGGGGAAAAAAAAAGGAAAACGATGAGTGAGCCTATGCAGATGCAAGATCTAATATGCAGAAAACCCCACTAGATTACACAAAACCCCACTAAACCTATTAAGTGATTTCAGCAGAATTTCAGGATGCAAAAGCCAACACAGAAAAAGGCAGATATATTTCTATATACTCTGAAAAGGAAATTAAGAAAACAGTCCTATTCACTATGTCAAAAATGATAAACTACTTGGGGAAAAAAACTATTCTAGACAGTAAAAGATAAGCTATAAAACTTTGTTTAAAAAGCTGGGCGTGGTGGCGCATGCCTTTAGTCCCAGCATTTGGGAGGCAGAGGCAGGCAGATCTCTGTGAGTTTGAGGCCATCCTGGTCTACAAAGCAAGTTCCAGGCCAGCCGGGGCTACAGGGAGACTCTATCTCACAAAGACCAAAAAACAAAACTGATTTTCTTAAAATTCATTTAAAAAAAGACCTGCGACTCAATGGCAAGGAGAATCTGCTTGGTGAAGGACAAACCATTCTACATAAATTCCACATACATCTGAAAGATGTCATAACTTTGATAGAGCTGCAATGTCAGCATCCATTTTTAGGCCTGGCATCATTTATTTGAAGTCCGTTGGACCACATCCCTTTGGCCTAGTTACAACTTGCCCCTGTGTGAAATATGGTTCACTCATTTCTCAGTTCACTGACCCAAACCCCAAGACACTTGTCAGCTGCCACCCAAGAAAGAACATGACGATGCTATCATTGGGAAGTTCCCCACTTGGTACATCTTCTCTCTAAAGTAGCCAGTCCTGGAGGATGACACTAATAAAGGCAGAGCCCTCCAGGTTGAGCACCTCAATGGGCCCCACAGGCACCCTCTTCCATGGATCTGTTTTCAACTACATGGTTGGTTTTGATTGTCAACTTGAAACAATCAGAATCACCTGGGAAGAGAGACTCATTGAGGAAATGTCAGGGTTCTGTTGGCCTGTGGGCATGTCTGAGAGAGGTTTTCTTAAAGGTGGGGATACCCAACCTAAGTGTGGGTGGGCACCATTTCATGGGCTGGGCTCCAGACTGGAATGGAAAGGGGAGAGCCAGCTGAGCACTGGCACACACACCTGCGTTCATTGTCTCTGCTCTTGATGCAGATATGACCACTGCTTCAAGCTCCTGCTCTAACTCCCTGGCTAGGATAGGCTCTAAACTTGAACTGTGAGCTAAAATAAACTGTTTCTCCCTTAAGTTGCTTTTGTCAGGGTATTTCGTACCAGCAACAGGAAACAAAACTAGGACAGGGACAAAATGATTCTGTGCATCTTGATGAGCCTCTGTGTCTCACCTGATGGATGGGGGGATGATCAGGGCTGTCCCATAGAGCCTCTGCCAACATGAAAAAGCAAGCCATGAAAAACACATGGTAAACACTAGCTCCAAATCCCCTGAGCCCAGATGTCATGGGTTGGGGTTCACAGTCACCTTCTGAAGAGGAACCATGTTCATGGAAAAGAGGACACAAGGTAGCTAGATTCCCCGTTCTAAGTCACAGAAGCTATAGATCCAGCCCTGACCCTTAAAAGCCCACAGGTGTCCTCTGAGCACTGCAGGATCTGCACCTGTTGCACAGGACCATCCTCTGACGGGCAGACAGTGGACAGACACCATGTTCCCAAGCTTGGTTGTACCCATTTGCCTAGGATCATCACAGCTAAGTTTGTTGACTGTACTCCGTAAGAAAGATGGGGCAGGAAGAGTCAGTCACACCTTCCAATCAACCAGTGGGCCCCAGTTGCATGATGGGGGAGAGTCTAAGGGTACACAAACTGAGGAAGCCAAGGGGGAATCACCATCCATGCTTGGATGAAGACTTTCCGGGGGGGCCTTAGAAGGGGAGCACCCCCACTTCTGAAGGTAAACCTTCACCCATTGCGCAGTAAATAAGCCCAATAATTCACTTATTTCCCAGACTGCAGTTTGGTATCTTGGTTTGTTGTAAGGACCAAAGGAGAAGGGAGCAGACATTGTTAACACCTCCCAGAAGAAATTTTAGCTATAACACCCAAATCCAAACTCCACACGTTTTGCAGTTATCTTTCCCTTTCTCTTGTATGCACACATGTGTGTGCACATGCACTGTTCATGTACACATGTGTATGCATGTTTGCATGTGTGTAGGTGCATACGCATGTGCAGATGTGGTTGTGGAGCCATGAGGTGGACATTAGGAGTCTTCCTTGATTGTTCTTCGCCCTATTCATTGAGGTAGAGTTTTCAATTGAACGCAGAGCTTGACATAAGGCTAATCTTATCTAGCCAGCTTGCCCTGGGGAGCTCCTAAATCTGCTTTCCAAATACAGGGATTAGAGGTGGGCCGCCATGCTCACTCAGCATTTACAAGGGTTCTGGAAATGGCACTTGGGTCCTCATGGTTGCTGGCTGTGCAGCAAGTGCTTTAACCTCTGTGCCACCTCCCCAGCCCCCTACTGCATTCTTATGTCTATGAGAGAGGGAGTTGCAGAGGAATTGCCTCAAAGCTAGCTATACTATAAAACCACCAGGTATTTAATTTTCTACAGTCTAAGAATTAATACTGGCTGTAAAATACATGACAACAATGTGACAATTATGAAATCATCAAAAAGTTAAATGTGAACTATGACCAATCTGACACCAACATGTAGAACTCTGTTAGGTACTGTTTAAAAGTATGAGTTCACCAAAATCTCACCCATAAAATTTTAAGGTTTCTATGGCAATCTAAACTTATGCTATGTTGCATGTAGAGATGTAGGCAGGAACAACACACTAATTTTTTCCAAGGTTATAGTCTCAGTTGTTCTTATAAGGAAAACTTTAAGTAAAATTACAAAATACCACACAGCAGTCTGGGTTGATATTTCACAGGCAATAGGATTAAACCTAAAACAAGACAAATACTAAATTTATGCAGCTCCTCTGTAGACAAAGCCACTGTGAGAAGTCAGGAAAGGTCGTTCTTGAGGCCTACCTTTTGGTTGCTGGCACAACAGTTTCTTTCCTGGACCCCGAGGGGGATGGGAGGGAACCACTGGGTTTCTTTGGTAACACGGTGCCATTGTTGACGGTGGTTCTTAGAGGCAGGGTCTGCACCAGTGGTCTTACTGAAAAAGAAGCACAAGACGATATCAGAATGTCCTCCCTCACAGTGGTAATGCCTTACAGAGCTTGAGCTGCACAGAAAGGAAGAGAGCATCAGTTTTAAAAAGCAGCAAGTAGGACATGGGTACACAGGCAAATGGGTTAGAGAAAGGACCATCTCTCAACAAATGGTGAGACAACAGTGAGCCTAGATAGCAGCCTCTTGCCCGTCACAAACATTAACCCAAAAGTGATGAGAGGGGCTGGAGAGATGGCTCAGTGGTTAAGAGCACTGTACCCAGGTTCGATTCCCAGCACCCACATGGTAGCTAATGACCAGCTGAAACTCCAGTTCCAGTGGGATCTGATGCCCTCTTCTGGTCTCTGCAGGCATTGCACATCACAAGTGCACTTACATTCATGTAGGCAAAACACATATAAATAAATAAATGGCAAAAGATCATTAAGGTAGATCTTCTCAGTAAAGAAAATCTACTGATGGCAAATGGGCACATGAAAAGATGCTTTGCATCATTATCATTAGGGAAATGCAAATCAAATCAATAATGAAATAGCTCTGTACATCTATAAGGATGGCTAAAATCCAAAAAACAAAATAGCAATTGCTAGATGGGACAGGAGTGGCAGAAACTTTCATTCATTGATGGTGGGAATGAGACCTGCAGCTGCCAGTTTGGAATAGTTTGCCAGTTTTTATAAAGCTAAATATAGTCTTACCACATGATCCAGTAAATCTGCTGACAGTAGGTATTTACCTAATTGATCTGAAAACTTATGTCTACACACAAACCTGCATGCAAATGTTTATAGCAACTTTAGTTATGATTGTCAAAAACTAGAAGCAACCAAGATGTCCTTCCATGGTAGATGGATAAACAAACCGGTCCATTTGACAACAGACTACCCTGTCTGCATACACATGGGTCTGAAGTCCACTTTGCTAAGTATGATGGTTAGTGTTAATTGGGAACTTGATTCTGGTCATGGGTGGTGATGGTGGTATTTTGATTGTGTTTATTGAGGTGGGAAGACCTGCCAACTGTGGATGGTGCCATTCTCTGGCTGGGATTCTGGAACATGTGAAGAAGGGGAAGAGCAAAGGAGGAGCACACGTTCATCGATTTCTGTTTCCCAATCACAGATGTGATGTGATCAGTTGCTTCCAGCCCCTGCTGCCTTGACTGCCCCACCATGCCTGTCTGTATCTTTGAACTGTGAGTCAAAATAAACCCTTTCTCCCTTGTTTTTGTTTGAGTATTTATCACAGTAACAGGGAAAGAAACGAATGGGAGTTCTATGCTGTGGTTATTTTCTATGACAGCCTAGAAAGAGTAAAGACAGAAACAGATCATGGTGTGCCACCAAGGGCTGGGGGTGGGTGAGTAGAAGCAAGTGAGACGTCTAGGAAGAAATGGCTCTGTATCATACTACCGTGTTACGCAGTCTCAAAGCCCAGACAGCCTCACTGATGAACTTTAATATCTGCAAAAGGAGTGGGGAACCCCATGAAAGGACACAGGATGGCAACAGGATCTAACTGTATTACAATGCATGGCGTCCCTTTTCTGAAGTTGTTAGGGAAAGGTGCTGGCCTAAGTAACTTCAGATATCAACAAGAACTAGACAAAGGAGCTGTGAGGAGCACCGAGCTTGGTTGGTACAGGTTGTACATGCTAGAGCCACTCTACTCGGATGCTGGAGCAGGACAGTGAGGCTGAGGGAAGGATGCAAGAGTCAGGATTCTCAACACTGGAGAGGAGGGGCTGGATAAGCAAAGAGGGAGGCCAGCTAGTAAAGAAAAGGTCAAACCACAACCACCACAGGTGCCTGGCCTTGGGTAGAGGGGGTAAGCCAGAGGGACACAGCAGCCAGTGGCCAAAGTGGGAACACAGCACTGGTTTATAACCTAGTGGGCAGATGGGTGACCATAGGCAAATACCACCAAGCAATGATGATTGAGATGGATGGTCTGTTCTCAGCCATGAGACTAGAGAAACGTCTCCAGTAGAATCAGCAATGGCTTATACAGACACTCTGCCCTCATGAGGCAGGTCACTACTCCACTCAAGTGTGGGTGGTATGTGACTCTCTTCTAGACAGGACATTATGGCGGGGGGAATAACTTCATAGAAAGGAGTCTGGCAGGTACCTCCTCATCCAAGCAGGTAATCCAGTCACAGATGATCTAGCAAGTGACTCACGTGGATGGTATTCACCTAGTACAGCTGGACATGGTGAGGATGGTCCCTCACCTCTGTGGTCCTGCTCCCTAAACCCCTTTCCTGAGTCTGCCCAGAAGAACATCAGACAGACCCACATGAAGGTCGGTGAACTGCCTAGCCAGCACTCCTCAGAACCATCAAGGTCATCAAAACCAAGAAAAACTGCAGTCTGGGAGAGCCTAGGGACCATGATGATCAAACACATATGGTACCCTAGAGGAGCTGCCGGTGGGTGTGAGGACGTAAGGGATAGACTATGGAAGTCTGAAAAACACACGGTCTGCACTTAACAATTGTGCATCCGCAATGGTCCATTCATGATGAAAAATGTGCTGCATGGTTTAACATGGGAAATGTCTGTAGTTGGAACTCTTCTGTAAATTGAAGCTAGCCTAAAAATTCTGAGTTCACTTTTCAAATGCTAGCAGAATTTATTTTGTTCATTATAGAATCAAGTCTGCCTCCATTTAGGATCTCCAAGGGATTCTGAATGGAATGCCATGTTTTTGATACACTGAAAGTATGATGCCTAAAGTAAGGACCAGCCTCTCCTTGTTTTAGTGTGAAATAGAGGGAAAAGCCAGGGAAACACACTGGCCAGAGAACACTAGCCTGTGTCCCAAGCCCTTCTCCACAGTCCCCAGGTGTCTTGCTCCAAGCACGAGGCGAGTCAGGAGCCAATACTTCTCAGAGGTAGACATGCAGCAGTCCTTATGCCAAGACTTTGACCTTGTCTCACACAAGTCTGGTCTCCCTGCTCATGTCTACTGCCTGCTGTGATCCTCTCCTCAGCCTCTGCCTTCTCTCTCTGCCACACTTCATGTAAGTCTCCATTTTGTTATTTTTTAAAATTTTATAGCATTTTATTTATTGACTTTGTGTATGGGGGTGTGCCTGCCACAGCACACGTGTGGAGGTCATAGAACACGTTTCCTCCCACCATGTAGATCCCAGGGACTGAACTCTAGTAGTCAGGTCTGGGGGAAGTGTCTTTACCCACTGAGCCATCTCACTAGCCTTTCCTTTCACTATTTTAAAGTGTGTGCACTTGGTTGATGGTCTCCTTCAAAACGCATGTCCAGTAACAACCTCACAAGATGGACTTGGAAATTGAGTCTTTATGACTATAACGAAGGTATGGATGGCTCCTAAATTCAATGAGGGTCCTCCTGTAAAGGTTGTGTGAAGATGGCAGGACCAGGAATAAGGCATCTACTAGTAATGGCATGGACCGCCACCACCAGCAGCCAGGAGCGAGCCACGGAAGGGTCCCATGTGTGTGGGGCAAACCGGCCCTGTCAACACCTTGATTTTTACCATGGGATATTGGTTTTGGGATTCAGGCTTCCAGAACTGTGAGAGAATGAGCCGCCATTGGTGACTGGCCCTGTAGGTAGACAAGGGTTGGTGTCTGCCCGTCACCCATCCTGTTACTGTCTCCATCTGTCTTTGCAGAGGCCAGCACTGGGCACTGGTCTCCACCATCTGCTCTGTGGGCTCTGTCCAATCTCCTCTAGGGCTTCAGTCTTCACATCCCCAGCAGCAATCTCCAGTGGCACCTGCCACAGGGAGGCAGAGCAGTGCCCATTGAATAGCTGGCATTACAGAAGGGCAGTTGAACACCTCAAATGTGTTCCCTCCCTAGTACGAACACACCTCATCCAGCTCCCACCTGAAACCAGGCCTTGAGGAGAGCAGGGAGAAGCTGCTCTCCCTGACTCCCAGACAGTGGTTCCACACAGTTTTGCCAAAGTGATCATTGTGAGCGGGGCTCTTCCTGTTCATGCGGTTTTATTTTCACATACCCACACCCACTCTTCAGTGAACACACACACACACACACACACAGTAACAAAGCCAACCCCTTGGTGGCTTTCCAAGTGTGTGGGTGGATGTGGATGACCTGGAGGGTGCACTGGGATGTACTCGGCAGCCCAGTACTATGGGGCTGGGGAGGGTTCCAAGGGTCTCCTCTTTGGCTGCTCTCATACTGAGAACTGCTGGCTTAAGACATCAGCCTTGGCTGTCCTCTTTCCTTACATTCCAGCCATCAACCCCCTCCCCCTGGAATTCCTATCACCTACCAGTGTCACTTCAAAGGCAGCACCTGGTTAGACACTTTGCCTCAGGTGAGCTACCTACTGCCCTCTTGGGGGTGGGGGAGGGGCCATCTAGACACACACACCCCTCCATCCACATACTTTGGTAGGACAAACTTTACACTCAGCCCCAGAGCTCAGGCTGACCATGGTGTCCCTTGGGTTGACACCAATGCACTGTCACCACTCCCAGCCCTGGGAAAGAGGAGGCAGAGGGAGCTGGGGAGGGTCCAGAAAAGACCCAAAAGAGCAGGCCAAGCCGTCCTCACACTAAGAACGCTGCGATGCAGGTGGCTGCACACCTGCCCTTCTGCTGCATCCACTGTTGGCTCCCGGGAGGTGTCACCTGCTCCCAGGACTACACACAGAAGGAACTGTACCCACAGGTTCCATGTCTGTGGGTACTACCCACTGAAGACAGGCAATGTCTTTAACAACATCATGTCTCTTGTCATCATTCCTGAACACCACAATTCACACTGCAGTAATAATATATTAGGAATTGTGATATGGACACAATTTAAATCGTACTGGAGGACAGGAATGGGCTCTGCGCAAATTATGCCATCTTATATGAGGGACTTGAGCACCCTCAGATTTGGATATCTGTAGCCCAGGTACCAGCCCCCAGGGATACAGAGGATGAGCATATGTGTCAATCAGCCCACACTTAATTTCAGT